CAGTAGCATGCTGTTATGGTTATCACAGCTTTGTAGGATATTTCGAAGTCAGGTATGAGGTGCCTCCTACTTTATTCTTTTTGCACAGTATTACCTTGGTGATATGGGACCTTTTCTGGTTCCAGACAAATTTTATTATTATATTTTCTATTTCTGTGAAGAATGTCTCTGGTAATTTGATTGTAATTGCATTGAACTTGCAAATGAATTTAGGTAGAATTAAGATTTTGATTATATTAATTCTTCCCATCCAGGAACATGGGCTGTCTTTCCACTTTTGTGAATTATACTTTATTTCTTTTTTCAATTTTTCATAGTTTTCCTTGTAAAGCTCTTTCACCTCTTTGGTTAGATTTATTCCTAGGTATTTTTTAATTCTATTTATTTATTTATTTATTTATTTTTGAAAGGTTTTTGCTATAGGGCATGTGTACTTGCCAGAAAGACAGAGAGAGACAGAGAGACAGAAAGTGAGAAATCACCCCCCAGGGGGGGTGGCCAAACCACAATCCCTTCTCTTCCATTCTCCTCTCAGGATCTTGGGCACACATGCACATGCACCCAGCGTGAGTTTAAGGCCACAGGGTCCAGGACTCAAACCGCAGTCGACTACATGGGAGTCTAGTGACATAGCCACTATGCCAACTGATGGTCCCCCTAGGTATCTTATTTTTGTGTGTGACTATTGTAAACGATATTGCTTTCCTCAATTCTGTCTCAACTGTTGGTTGTTGGTATTTAAAACTGGATAGCCATCAGCAGGAAAAAACAGCAGGAAAATGAAACTAGACTTCAGTCTCTCACCATTAACAAAAACCAACTCAAAATGGATCAAAGACCTAAACATAAGGCCTCAAGATACGAAACTACTCATAGAAAACACAGGGGAACCTCTTGAAGACATTGGAGTAGGCAAAGATTTCTTAAATAAGATCCCTAAAGTACAGGCAATAATCCCAAAGATATATAAATGGGACTACATTAGGTTATAAGTTTCTACACAGCAAAGGAAATAATAATTAGAGTGAAGAGATAGCCCTCAGTGTAAGGTCTGGGGGAAGAGAAAAGAAACATGGTGGAAACATTCCTGCCAGCAGGAACTTTCCTGTTTTCCGCATGTGGCCCGCCATCGCCAATGGACTTTTCCACTCTTCAGCATTTGGTGTGCCTGCCAAAGTTGAATAGAAACAGCGAACTTCATTGGCCAGACAAAGACCCACGGTGACCACCTATTGGACAATGGCCCTTTAAGAACGAGCACCACCCACTCTGGGTGTGACTCGCCCCGCCTCCGACCA